TGTGTCCCTGTCCGTGGCAGGGCTGTGCGTGCTGCTCTTCCTCACTCGGCACTCCGTCTGTCCTGAGGAAGTGTGGTCAGCTTGACTGAGCTGCTTGTGAGGATGGCCCTGCTCACAAAGGTGTGGTGTGAAACCAGAGTGGCTTTTCTGACTTCTTTGCCTGTGGATTGCATGGCTTGCTCTTTTGCCTCATTTTCCATTTAAAAGGAGTTTGGGTGGTGGGTTTGTAACACCTTTGGCATTTCTGACCCAACACCCGTGGTGTGTTCACAGCACAGGCCAAGAGCAGCACTTTGGTCATCTTGCTGCCTTGGAGCTGAAAAAGAGGAGCCCCTCAGGTCTTTACTCCACGGTGCATGGGTGTCATCTCCCCTGCTCAACCCTTTCAGAAAATCCTGCTTGTGCTGCTGACTCGCATGTTGGGCGATGTGAGACTGTGTGAACTTAGAGTATGGGGAAGTGCCGATGGTGGTTTGGATGCTGGTGGGCTGTTGCAGACAGGGAGCTGGATGCTGAGCTGCTGATGAAGCCTCTCGGCTCAATGCAAAACTGCCGGGTCAGCTGGTGTCTGGCTTGGGCAGTGCATGCATGAAGTCAGTGAATGTCCAGAAACAGTGAGGGATTCATAGCTGTCCTAATGTAGACTCCCTCATCTTTGCAAAAAGTACCAGCTGACCTTTAGATCTTAGGGAATCTGAAGCTTTTTTATCATGGGGAAAACCGTTTCTTATGGATGTGCACTGCTTGTGCTGATGGAGTCAGTATGAAGTAGAGGCTTCTTCATTTGATATGTGTGTAGAAAAGGGGCACTGGAAGCCTTTCCTTGTTGTGAGCATTTGTAACCTCCCTCCGAGTATGAGGGTACAGTCCTTCCCTTCTCTCCCCGTCCCTCACGGACTGTGGGTAAGCTCTGGGCAGTCCTTGGCAGCAAACCCTGCCAAGCCCAATCTATTCTGGCCACCAGCAATCCTGTCCTAGGGGACTCTGTCAGGACTGAAGTGTCTAGACCTTGGGAAGAGCACAGGGACCATCCCACCATCTGCTTCCTCCTTCAGCCTTATCCGCAGAGAGCTGGGAACTGCTAGGCGGTGCTCGTTTCTCCTGCCTTCCAGCGCTGCGTGTGCCGGGTTTGGAGACCTGTTTGCAAGGTGGTTTCTGTTTGCTTTCAGCACTTTGTTGTTCAGAGTCCTCTGTTTATTCCCCTGGCGTCATGCCACCATGGTCCCCCCGCCAACGTGTGAGACATGCTGACCAGTCTCTGGGGGACTTGCTGAGACTTTTCTACAGCGCAAATGGGAAAGGTTCAATGAAACTTTTTAAACCCATTGATCCTCTTTCTAACTTCTCCATATTCCTTCTGCTGGCATGTCAATGCAGAATAATGTTAGCGATTTCAAGTGCTGTTGGGAGGATGCAGGATCAGCCAGCATTCAATACCCATCTGAATGTCAAACAGTGCTCTGCCACCAGGGTGCAGATAGCACTTTCCAGGATGAGTGTGGCCAGGATCAAGTCCCTGTGATCGCTGTGGCAGGGTCCTCTCTTGCAGCCTTTCTCTGACTTCTTAGTTCTCTCTCTCACAGCATCCTTGTCCAGGCTGCCCCAAATCTCTGCATCCCAAATACAGCAATCAGTGCTGCTGACCCCCTTCCCAAACCTGTGCACCAGGTGCTTACAACAGAGCCAGGTCCAGGTCACCTCTTGTTTCACCCCCTCTCCCTTCCTGGAGGAGGAGAGAGGTGGTACAAGGGCCTCATGCCTGTTCTGGACCCGCTGCTGGCTTTGAGAAATGCTGGCCTGTCTTGAGGCGAGGGCGTGCCATGCCTATGGCAGTCTGGGCAGTGGCCCGGCAGTGTTTCAGCTTGCTGCTGCTGGCACAAGCCCATCGCCTGATGATGGGGCAGCCGTCAATGATACGGGAGTGAGCCTCCAGAGGTCGGCCTCGGACTGTGGCGGGTGGGTGTCTGGGCCTGGGGAGGATTGCTTCTTGCTGCTTTTCCTCTGGTCTTTGTTACGTTTGACTGGTGTTACTTGTAGCAACAGCAGCCTCAAGAAATATGTATGTTGAGACACAACTGACTGAAGCTGCTGCTCCTTCCAAATCCTGTGAGATTTAGGTTTGCATTTGCAAAAAAAGCTCTTCCAGTTTGTCTTTAGACAGCAGGTAACTTCCTAGTTATCCTGATTCAGAGGATATTAGGCATTTGAAGAGCTTGTTTTCTATGAGGGCTATTACCCTTTTTTCCAGCTTCAAAAACCCACCTTCTTAGGCTTAAAATGGCTAGAAAATACTGGCCGAGTAGAAGCGTGGAGTGTTTTGTTTAGATTTCTAACATTTTCTGAAATCTTACCTTTCTGAGCTTCCATGAGGTAGGAGAAAGCCCCTGAAAACTGGGAGCTCTTGCTGAGTAGACACTGTGAGCACAGCAGCACAGTCTCTGCCACCCTGCACTGCACGGAGCTGGTGGCTATGCCTGATGGAGCCGGAGGTTGCCTCTTGGTGCAAGCTTGTTGTGAAGGGACCCCCAGAGCTGGCAGGGGAAGAGAAGTGCTCCTCTGGCTGTGAGCAAAACATGTCCTCCATCAGAGAGGTGGTCCCCGAGGCAGGCAGGAAGTGAGCTCAGCCTCTGGCAGGGAGCCAGGGTCTGGAGAGAGGATGAGCTGAGGCATTAGACACCACCAAGTCACAGAATCACAGAATCATCTCAGTTGGAAAAGACCTTGAAGTGCCTCCAGTCCAACCATGAACCTCACCCAACTCCACTAGATCCCCCAGCACTGGGTCAACCCGACTCTTCAACCCCTCCAGGGATGGGGACTCCCCCCTGCCCTGGGCAGCCCATCCCAATGCCCAACAGCCCCTTCTGCACAGAAATCCTTCCTCAGAGCCAGCCTGACCCTGCCCTGGGCAGCTTGAGGCCATTCCCTCTTGTGCTGACACTGGTTCCTTGGCTCAAGAGACTCATCCCCCCTCTCTGCACCCTCCTGTCAGGGAGTTGTAGAGGGCCAGGAGGTCTCCCCTCAGCCTCCTCCAGACTAAACCCCTCCAGTTCCCTCAGCCGCTCCCCATCAGACCTGTGCTCCAGACCCTGTACCAGCTCTGTTGCCCTTCACGCTCAAGTCATTCAATGGCCTTTTTGGGGTGAGGGTCCCAAAACCGAGTCCCAGAGGCCAGTGCTTTGAGCCCTGCTTGCTCTGAGTGTTTCTGGTGCTGTTCAGCCTCAGCTTAACCCAAATGGCCAGGCCACGTGGACTTCTGATCCAGCTGGTGCTGGATGCTGTGCTCCTCGTGTCTGTGTGTCTGTCCTAGTGCTAGCTGTGGGCACATGCAGACAGGCTGGCTTTTGTGCAGAAGGGCACCTGCGTGACCTGGCCACTATCTCCCTGCAGCTGAGTGGTAGTGCAGGTCACAAAAACTTATAACAAACTAGGTAGCACTGGGAGGGAAGGGCTCTGCCGCAGTCTGGCCCTGTTTTGTACATATCTACTCTCTTTTCTGCTGTCTTTCACCCTGTTTCTGGCAATGCTGAGGAAAAAGAGTTGCTGCTTTTCATTGTCCCTGTAATCTGGGGCAGGAAAGCCTTCACAGGCTAAGGAAGGGGGCCTGGTGCAGATAGAAACACTGCTGACTAATTGGTTTAAAACATGATTAGCTGCTTTCTCTGTTACTGTCTTCTCCAGAGAAGTCCAAAGCTGAATCTGCTCCCCTCGGTGAAAGCTGTCTTATGTGGCATGGAGTCAGGCTTTGTTGTGCACTAGTCACCTGCTTAGGCAGGGTTATTTCCCAGTATTAAGTCTGCATGCTGTACCCCGTGGCTTTCAGGATTTAACTTCCCATATGCCAGTCACTGCTTCAAATACAGAGGCACATGAGGCTTCTGCTGGGCTGGTGATTTTTTTTTAAAAAAAAGGGGGGGGCAAAAAGGCAAGCAACTCATCCAGACCTCATGCAGTTGGTATCTCCTGAGCAGACTAAATCTGTGAGAGTTGCATTTGATGCAAAGGTTATCCTGTAAGGATTCTCTCTCTGAGCTTAATGTTTTCTGGAAGTATCTGTGTGGGCTTGAAGCAGAGTTAAGAGCAGCCTGGCAGGACAAGCTGCACTCTCGTGCTTAGCAGCAGCAGCAGCTGGGTGATCCAGGGTGAGGTTCCTTGAAAATGCTTAATGTAGAGACAGGCCAGAGGGGTGGGCTGCTCGCAGGGCTTATCTCTTTCTTCCAGCAAATGTATGCAACATCACCCAGGTGGGTCCTTCTGAAGAAATGAACTTTGAAGATTAATTGCTAAACCTGTAAATCATTTTGTAGCTCACGACTGGAACCATCCCATTAGAAGCTTAATGTGTCCTATATATTAGCAGTGGTGATAGGTGCTAAAGAAATTAATTCATGGAGCCGGAAGGAGCATTGCAGTTTGCTGATCTAGCACTGGGGAAGAGCAGAGGGCTTAATTAGCAAAAGTGCCTTTTAAATGGAAGATAAATTTGATGGCAACTGAGCTGCTTCATTAAAAAAATAAATCCTCAGACCCTGGGATTCAGCCATGTTACTTGTGGAGAAAAATTAATTTGTGTTGGCTCCTAGTTCCAGCCCTGGCCTCCCTAAGCTTTGGGGAGCTGGCTGCATCCAAGTAGCCAAATCCCTGTGCCCCTCAGCAGAGCAGATGATGGCTCTGCGCTTGTGTGCGCTTCGGTTATGAAGAATTTTAACCAAGTTTTTCCACAGAGGCAGTCAGCCATGCCCAGCAGTAGAGACTAAGACCCCTTGGTGACCAGTGGCAGGCTGGTGCCTCCCTTTGCTTGCCCCTGTATTGCTCCTACTTGGCTTTACCCCTTATCCCACTCTAGTTTGATCTTTCTCTGACACTTTTGTGTTTGTTTATTTGGGCCTCTAACATGAGGCTTGAGTCACTTGTGTTCACTGTAGCATATTTTGATAGATGTAAGTCTTGCACTCGGTGTCTGTGCAGCATGCTGGGCCATAAACTCTTGCTTAGAGTCCTGGCACTCTGGGGAGGTGATCAAAGCCTTGGAAGCAGCAACGTCCAGGACAATGGGAGCCAAATTAATGTAGATGGGTCCTCCTGGGATCTTTTCCCTCCTCTCAATGGAGCTGTGGGCGTCTCTTGTTTCCCTCTCAAGTAATGTCTGTGCTGTCTGCCCCACTTTTCTTCCAGGTGCGCAATGGCCACATCAAGCGAATCACTGACAATGACATTCAGTCACTGGTGCTGGAGATTGAAGGAACTAATGTCAGGTAGGAGAAGGCATCTTCTGCACTGATGTGCCCTGGGGGCTGGGCTCTCTCCTTCAGACTCTACTGCAATCTCTTTGTCAGTAAATTGAAGAATATGATCTGGGGTCAGATCACTGATACCCCTCTGTGGCACTGTACCATGCCTCTACTGTGCTTGTAGAGCTCCTGTTCATCCTCAGTGGGGCTAAAGGATAAAAAATAAAAATAAAGTCCCATTATTTTTCTATTACTTGAAGAAAAAAGCTATATTTGATACACGGTTCTCAGGCAGTGCCACCAATTACTGAGAAATCAGCGCTCTGTCTTCTGCATCTTTTATTGTCTCAGGCCTTCTCTGCTGCCCTCCCCACGTGACAGCTGCTCTCTCAGCAGCAGGAAGATCAAAGGGAGATTTATGAGGGGAGTTGCTTATGGTGCTTCACTTAGCAACCTCGTCTCTATCGACTGGGGAGAGAGACGCCAGCTCCATGAACGGGTTCCGAGTCTCCAAGGCTTCTCCAGGGTGAATCAGAGCAGGGCACTCCTTATAAGGGCAGCAGAGACTCCTCTCCTACAGACAGGCTGAGCCAACGCTTCTCTTCATCCCAAGATGTGTTGATATAGAACTTGCCAGGCGTGACGTGTACTTATAGGGCTCATGACCTCTGTTTTCCCCACCATATAGAGCACGCAGGGCCTCTGCTGTGCTCTGGAGGGCTCTACCTGTTCAGTCAAGGGTAGGAGGAGGTTGTGTTATGAAACAGCGCTGATGTGGCTTTGAAACTGGGGAGGTGAAGCTGTCCAGGGAAGGTGTTTCACACACTGGGTGAGAAAAGTGGGATTTGAAATGCATCCTTTGGGCCTTTTATCTTGTTCTTCCTGCAGCTACCTCTGAAACTGTCTCTCCTGTTATGGGAAGCCCTGGCTGTTGCTGAGACATTATGACCACAGCTATCTTTTTCCTGTCTGTCCTCCAAGACTGTGTTGGGTCAAGGTTGAGACTCAGGACTTGGGCTGTGCGCTTTGTGCTACGTGAGATTCTGAAGCGTTTTTCTGTCCCTCTCAGTACCACGTACATCACGTGCCCTGCTGACCCAAAGAAGACCCTGGGCATCAAACTACCTTTCCTAGTGATGATCATCAAAAACCTGAAGAAATACTTCACTTTTGAAGTGCAGGTGAGGAGTGTGCAGTGGGGACACCCCTCCAGGGGCTGGTGCAAAAGGTGCCAGTGAACCTGCAGTCTCGTTGGAACTTGTCCCAAGCAGTGAGTGGTCCTCAAAACAGTTTTGCTTTTTTGGCCATGTGTTGTGTGAGGTCTTATGCTATGGGCACATCAGTCAGCACACAAGCACATCATTGCTATTCCTGAAAATGGGTGTTTCCTGTATTAAAAATACTTCTGCTGTGCAATGGAGGAGTGGGAGTAGGAGACCCCTCTCTGAGATGGGACAGCTGCTGTCTCGGAGAGCTGGGTGCCGCTGGGTCAGCAGCCTGCCTTCCTTGCCCCAGGTTCTGGATGATAAGAATGTACGCCGGCGGTTCCGGGCGAGTAACTACCAGAGCACAACTAGGGTGAAGCCCTTCATCTGCACCATGCCCATGCGGCTGGACGATGGCTGGAACCAAATCCAGTTCAACCTGTCAGACTTCACACGCCGGGCTTATGGGACAAATTACATCGAGACCCTGAGAGTTCAGGTGAGAAGCAGGCAGGTCCTGCCCCCAAAAAACAGTGGCTGGTAATCTTCCTGCTGGCTGGGACAGCCTTGCTCTAAATTGGTAATCTAGGTTTAGCCTTGACTGGTTCTTCTGCCAGTGCTGCTCTTTTCAGAGCCCTGCAGGAAGGGAGCAAAGGCCCAACTGAGGCAGCAGAGCTCTTGGTGCTGCCTGACTTCACTGGACTAGGCTGAGATGAAGGAGGCCATTTCCATCTTGTTTCTCTTGCTGTCTCTTGATTAGGGTACGAGTTGCAGTCCACCTAAAGTTCCCTGTGGCGTGCCATGGGATGGAGGTCTGCTGGGAGTTAGCCCTGTGCTGCCTCACTGCAGATATGCCAGGCAGCGACTGGCTGGCTGGGAGCCTGGAGTCTGGCTGGTGATGACCCAGGCTGTTACAGTCCATGCTTATCCCTGGTCAAGCTTGTTTCCAGTGCAGGTGGAGTGACCCTGCCTTCATCAAGCCCCTTGGACCAGAGCTGATGCAGTGTTTGTTCCTGCTGAGGCCATGAAACTTGTTCCATGTGCTAGGGAATCATATTCGCCATGGCCAGTGGCCCGTGTTGTTTTGAGGAGTGCCTGTGTGCGAAGCATGCCTGTTCCTCAGTACGATGGGACTGCTGCCGGTCCTCCTGCAGCTGCCCTGAGATGAGCAGGCAGGTGGGTGGGAAAGGTCTGCCTTCTCACATACCCTGCGACTCCTTCACTGCCACCTCATAGCAGAGGCAGCACAGACTGGACAGTCTCATTCCTGACCTCAGGGAGCCACTAAAGAGGGAGTGTTAAAAATGCTCTCTGAGGCTGAGAGTGTTCTGGGAAATGCTGATACCAGTGGAGAAGCAGAGGCAGGTTCATAGCAAAGAACTCTCTAAGCAACTAAGGCAGATCTCAATTAGCAGACAGGGCAGAGCCTGGTCAAATCCCTTGAATCAGCTTGTATCACTGGAGAGAGCATCTAAGCCAAAGCAGAGGGCATGGGCCAGCATTTCTTCTCTGATGCCCTGTCAGACTTGGAGAGAGGCAGTGAGGTCTCTTCTTCAGCTGCTGAGCCAAGGAATCCAGGCTGCTGCATGACAGTGAAGCTGGAGGTGGAAAGAGCTTATGGAAAATGGACTGACTCTTTGTTTTGACTCAGATCCACGCCAACTGTCGCATCCGGCGGGTGTACTTCTCTGACCGTCTCTACTCAGAGGACGAGCTGCCAGCTGAGTTCAAGCTGTATCTGCCCGTCCAGAACAAGGCCAAGGTGAGGAAGCTTGTGGGCAAGGAGGGTGGGAGCAGCAGCTGGGTCAGGCTGGCATTCCTCTTCCTCCTCCTGCTGCCTTGACAATCCAGAGTTTCTTCTGGCAGCAAAGCTCTTCCCAACTTTGGCCACGAGCCAGGGAGCACCCTCACAGTTGCCAGGGGGAGCAGTCTGTCAGGGGCACCTTGCTGGGTGGCTTTCCTGCCAAAACACGTGGAAGTTGTCATTCCCATCTAGGAGCAGGGTGAGCTGCTCCCCACGTTCTTCCTATTCCCGTTGAATTCAAGGCAGGCTGGCAGCCTCCCGACATCCCTCCGTAGCCTTCACCCATGACTCAGCACAGTGGCTTTGCTCTCAGAGCTAGCTGCAGTTCTGCACTTGTCTTCCAAGAGAGATGCCATTTGTGTCCCTCTAGCCCAAATATACTCCCTTCTGATCTCTTCCCTGCCCAGTGCAGGCAGTGGTACTGTGAGATGTGAAGGGCTTAGGCAGGGTTGTGGCTGCCAGACAGGAAGAGATGCCAAGCTCTGCTCTTAGGGTGATGGGAGAGGAGTCCCTGGCATGTTGGCAGCAGCCTTGAGGCTTGTGAGGAGGCACCTACTTTGCCAGGGCAAGCCTGTCTCAGCACAGATGCTTCTTTTAGCAGAGAAGATTCTTGGGCAAAATTTCAAGGAGCTGAGGGAGGATGTTGGGTGCTGATCTTAGTGGGAGGTAGAAGGCAGTGTTAACTGCAGGCAACAGGAACCTGTCACTGCCTTCTGGGCTGTAGCAGCCTCCCGGGGGTGGCTGGGGAATGCTTTGAGCCCTCCCAGTACAGTTGTCTTGGTACTGCTGAGTCTAATAAGTGTCTCCTTTGTTCTCCTTGCTCTGTCCAGCAATAACACCATCTTGGGAAGAGATGCAAGAAGTGTTTGAGGTCAGTAGGAAAACAAAAGTGGGTGGAGGAGAAAGCCCTGCTGAGACCAAGTTTAGATCAGCTCACCTGATTCATCTGGTATCCCTCTTCTGGACAGGACGCAATTAACCGTGTAACAGGCCTGGGACTATGTTTTTGGTGTGCGAGTTGTGCAGAATCAGTTCTCCTAGCTGGTCCTAAAGTGCTGAGCCTGAGCACTTCGAGTGGCCTGGTACCTGATCTGGTGTGGCACAGGGGCGTTGCTCAGAGTCACTATTGTGCCTCTGAAGAGGGGATTCAGTAGCAGTTACCAGGTTAAGTGTGCCCTCTTCAAGATACTGATTTTATCTTTTCCTTCCTTGTTTTCTGTCTCTTTATTTTATATATGCTCTAAATATGGATGTAATACTCTTGGGAAATTATTAAACATTTGACTCTAAGTCTGCTTCTGGCTTCTTCCTCCTTTGATTGATCCTTTAACTTACACATGTTAATGCTTCAGAAAGTGACAAAGAATTTCTTTAGGAACCAGATCTTAGAATCTGCCTCTGAATGTGACTTTGACTGGCAGCCTCACTGTTTAAGGGAACAATGGCAATCTGGAGAGAGGAAAAATAGTAATGTTTCCATAGAGGAGACAGGATCTGTCTCTAGTCCATGAGGTTTGTGGTACTCTACCTATGACAAAAACTCACATTTCCCTTCTAGTATATGGAAATGGTCTTTCATTCCCTTCTTTCTTGAAGCCCCTTTCTGAGCAGTGACAAATTGGCCCTACCTGTCTGTAAGGCTGTGTGGTTAAACAACTCCCTCGGCTCTCAGGCCTTTAGCAGCTACTTATAGCAAGAGACACACAATAGTCTTCCAGCTGCCAAATTGTCCCTTTCCCCAGGGATCAAAGGGGAGGTTTAGCAAAGCAGCATAACAGGAGCGGAAGGCTTTTCCTGTGCTGAAGCTGCCCTTCCCTCCTCAAACCGATCTCCTTTTGTCGTGGAAAGCTTGTGGAGTGGAGGCCACAGACCTCCACAGCTACTCGGGTGTGTGGGTACTGACCATCCTTCCCTGGTGTTGGGCTGCTCAGTGAATTTGGGAGACTTCACTTTCATTATTGTGCTGTAAAATAAAGCTGGCCTCTCCCAGGAGAGCCTGGTGGGGCACATCTGCCCCGGATTGTGGGTTTTATCTTGGCCACTGACTCTCCATCTGATTTAAATCTTTGGCATATCTGTGCTCCCTCGTGGTCAGCAGCTCCTCTGTAGGGAACCCCCTTCACCTCTGTGGCAAGCTCTCAGGACACCTCTAATGCAGCTGCCTTACTTGTGAAAGGGCTCAAACCAATGAATTTCTGATTGAGACTAAACTGTGATGTATGAAAGTTTTGCTTGTGTTTCCCAAGGACTCCTCAGCTGTTTTCCCTCGGCCTCTTTGTCTGTCTGGACAAAAGTAAAATGCTCCCTGTATAACTAACTGAGGGCAGACTCAAAGCCTTCAGTGGGCACTTGGGCAAACTGAGATAAGGGGAACTCGACCAAAAGGACCCAGAGATACCATCTAGGGAGGTCGATGATCTTGCTGATTTAGGAAGGCGGCACCTGGTCTTTACCTCACAGCCATGCTCTGGAAAGAGCCAACACCGTGAAGAAAACCACCTACTTCTGCCCTCGGCCACCGAAGCCCCCCACCCTATTGTCAATGGGCATGCTGGGACTGTGTAAATGAATTCTGGGAACTCATGATCATAAAACACCCCTTTCTAGGAAATCTAATGAATATCTATGATTTTTGTGTGTGTAAACTGCTAGTTTTTGGGAGCCCTTAGGGTGGAGAATCCCCAGGGTGACCCCAGCACTGCTAATAAAGAATTCCTGCTGAACAGTTCTGTTGGATTCTGACTGGTGAGTAAATTTCTTCATCTCACTTGCACCTTTACCGTTAGTGGGCTTTGAACTGGAGGTGCTGACCCTGTGCTGCCATGTGGTGCCGGACTGCAGTTGCAGAAGGCTTTCTGGAGAAGACCTTTCCAATTTTTATGGCAGCTGAATAGCTTGGTAAGTCTAAGGAGCCAAGCCAAGGAAGCCTACATGGGAAGGCAACATCCATCTTGTTTTGACATCTGTCAAGGCTTGGCTGGGCTTGAGATTTGTTAAGTGGAATCACACTGTATTGTGTGCCAAGGATCAGCCTTAATGAAGTCTGTGGCGAAGCTTTCCTGCCCTGCTTGCGAAGCTTGCCAGGGCGAGGGGAGCTGCTGTGGGGACCCACCAGCCCCCAGCAGGGTGAAGTGTGCTTCCTCTCCCACAAGCCCACCAGCCTGTGTTCTTGGCAGTGGTTGGCAGCCGAGCACTCACCGGGAGCTGCTGCCGCCTTTCACTGCCCCGCTGGGGCCCATGCAGGACTTACCCCTTGTCCTTGAGGAGTCAGGCTTGCTCTGAGCAAGTGATCTTAATGTGTTGAGAGGGGCTGGGCTCCCCAGGGCCCGGAGCTGGCTGCCTCTGCAAAGAGATTAGATGGGCCCTGCTGCCAATTCCTGCCCGACCTCTAGGAGCTGTGCCAGCGGATTTGCTGGAATAAACTCCCAGTCACAAACCCTTACATCCATGTGGGCCCTCTGTATATTTTTTTAATATGAAACAAAAATACTGAATCTTCCTGTTTACATACTGCGCAAAGCAGAGTATCATCAGATACCAGCTCTTTCCTTTAGGGCCAGACAGGGGTAGATTTACATGTGGTCTTCAAAAATCTTCCTTTTCTACTCTTCCTCTCCCATCAGAACTTTAACCATCTTGCTGGAGGTGTGTGAAATTTGGATGCTCTCCCTGCAGGAGAAGAGGATGCTTCTGGCTGATAGGCCAAAATGTCACAAGTGTCCTGTCAGCAGCCATTTCCTAGAGTAAATGTGCACTGGCAAAACCACTGCGATGAAGTGCCCAGCTTCTTGCTACTTTGGTTATGGCTCTTGACCCACGTGTAACACAACTTCCTCCTAAATGGAAAGAGTGGGGGAAGGCAGGAAGAACATGGGAGCAGAGATGGGAGCCTGTGCGCTGCCAGGGCAGCCCCAGCATGGTATGAGGGGTGAGCAGGGGGAGTCCTTGTTCATTGCAGACAGCCTGTGGAGAAAAGGTCTTAAACATCTCCTCTTTCACCTTTCTGTGGTTGGCCTGCTCCTTCCTTCCTGCTTAAGTCCTCATTGCAGTCTATGTCTGGTGGGCTAGAAAGGAATCTTTCTTTGCAGGGAGCCCTGGATTCAACCTGAGGCAGAGCGGGGCCTGCCTAGAGCTGAGTTTTCCTTGCTTCACCGGCTCTTCGCCCTCTTCCACTGGCTGGGGAAAGGTGCTGCGCTTGGGCACTTTGATCAGGACCTAAGTGCTGGAAGCCTGCTTTCTACATCAAAGGCAAAGCATCCCTTTGAAATCTCGGCTGCTGAAGGACAGTGAGTTCATGGGCTGCAACACCTCGGCTCATGGGATGGGAGAGCCCTGGGTTGGGCCAGGGAGCAGACGTGCTGGGATGGAGCTGGAGCAGCTGGCAGTCACTGTGTGGCTGGGACATCCCTGGGCGCTGGTGGCTGTGCCTGGGCAGGTGGCAGCAGCTGGCAGAGGAAGCAGACGATGGGGTTTTCCTGGAAAGGTTTCTGTGCCTTTGCTCTGCTGCTGAGGCAGAAGCAGTCTGGGTGAGAGCCTGGCCCAGCGGAGTGGCAGGACACTGGTACAGGCTCCTGCCCCTGCCTATGCCCTTCCCCTTACTCTTCATCCCCTTCCTATTAAGTGAATCCTGGCACAAAACACAGAGCTCTGATTACAAGGGTGATTTGCAGGAATCAAAAAAAAATCTGGGCCAAACTCTGCGCCTTGCCCTCTCTGTCTCCTATTCTGCATCTCCCTGGATGTCTTGGGCCAAATGTTGTCATCTTTGTAGAGGACTGTAGCCAGGATTACACCTCCAGGGCAATGCTAATCCTCTGCAGCTGCTGTCTGGTGTGGGGCGGTGGTGCTGGAGGTGAGGGAAATATTTATTTTTTTTGCCATTGGCCACCACCCAGGAAAAATGAGTGATTGTACTGGGGACTTTGGCCACTTCTGCCTGCAGCAAGAGCTGATCTTCCTACCCTGCTGGCGCCTGCGGGAGAGGGGTGAGAGCTTACCCTGGCAGGCTGCAAAATGGGACCACCCAAGCAAGATTTTATTTGGATGAGGAAGCAGCTGTGCACCCTGAGAGCTACCCTGGGATGTGGTGGGGGAAGCCTTGGAGCCACCAGAGGGAGAAGATGATGGATGCTAAGTCATGCTGAAGCAGACCTGCAGACCGTCTGCTCTGCCATCACCTTGTGCGTTGCCCATGTGGCCCCAGAAATTACTTTCCTCCCTGTGAGCTGAAGGGTCTGGCACCACGGGGAGTGGGCTGGCGGCTGTGAGGGGAGGTGACAGGCATGAGCAGACCCCAAGCTCAGGGTGGCCTGCGGGTGCATTCCCCCGCCCCCCAACAGCAGGGCAGTGCTGGCACCCACCCCTGCCCGGGCAGCACCCAGAGCCTCAGTCCTGCCTGCAGCGTGCACAGACAGCAGGTTCAACCCCGCCCAGGGCCCCATGGCCCTTCCCTCTATCTCCAGCATCGTTTCCTCTGGCCTTGAGGCCAGCCGATTGCTGCTCTGGCCCCAGTTCTTCCTCTGAGGCAAGCCTGACTTCCTCCCTGCTTTCCGGGTCCTCTTCTCAGCAGCACATAGGGGATCATGCCCTGCCTTGCAGAGGAAGAGGAGGAAGCATGGTTTCTCCTGTGATGGTGCCAAGCAGGCAGAGAAAGCCCCCGCCAGCCCCAGTCACCCCGTCACCCCCACTCCAGCAGCGCGTGGAGCCCCAGCCTGCAGCAGCCAGCACTGCCTCGGCAGGGCAGGGCCTGGAGGACACTGCGCTCCCGGGGTCTCTTCTCCAGCCTATTTTTGGGAAGCTGGGAGCTGCCTGGTGGGGGTGGATCCTGGCAGGGCTGCCTGGTGCCTGCCAGGGCCAGGCTGAACAGGACTGGCACTCCCCCGAGCCACCCGAAGCCCTGTCCCTTGCAGCAGCTGCATCCCTGCCCTCCCCTTGTGGGCAGCCAGAGGTGAGCTGACCCTGCTGTGGGCATGCACGGCCGAGCAGGAGCCACCAACAAAGAGCCCGGGCCCTGCTGAAATGCTGGGCTTTGTCTCCAGTGGGGTCCCTTGCTGCTGTCCATGAGCATTTCCAGATGGCCCCGGGCTCCTGGCACTGGCTCCACTGCAGCATCCAAAGAAAAGCAGGGAGGAGGGGAAGTGGGAAGCGATGTCCCAGCTCACCCAACCGAGGCAGCCTGGGGCTCTGCTCCCAGCTCTACTAATTGCCCTGGGGAGTTGCTCCCAGATCCTGTCCCACCCCATCTCAGCCAGGAGGCCCCTTCCCTGCCCAAGGAAGGGGATGCCATGAGT